TAAACACAATATAATATTAAAATATATTAAAATAGAAAACATTTTAAATTGTAATACTATTTCACAAATTTATTTTCTAAAACATTTTTAAAAATCTTACAGACCCCAAACTTTTGAATGGTAGTGTATATTTTTTAATTATGAAATGTATTTAAATAAAACTATAACATTATTTAAAAAATAAATTATACATATACTACAACACTTAAGTAAAGGAGACCGTTTAATTCAGAATAACATCAAATCTTGGAAGACTTCTTAATAATATTGAAAGAAAAAAAGTGGTCCCTGAGGCCATTCTATCAGTACCAGTTCCTTCAACCTTTTTTTAATTACAGGACAGAAGGCTCTAGAATCCATCATGAGCACAAGTCAGTCAGTAGGTGAGTGTATTATTTAGTCCAAGGTGACAGAATGTCATATTTGTGAGGAATTACAAACAAATCCGCTGGTATGTGCATGTGCACAGAGCTACTCACAGCCAGCTGCTGCTGGAGGCTCTTGACCTGGGCTTGGAGTGTGTCAATGTGTTGAGTCTGTCTCTTGTTGGGCGTGTTGCCAGCATAAGCCAGCTGGGATAAGCCATTCAGAGCCTGTTTCAGCCTTTCAACATCTGCCAACAGTTCTGTGATCTGAAACGAAGAACACCTTGCTTATAATCTGACAAAATTTCAAGCACTTATCGAGAAAGCTCTTCCACATAACCAATGAGTATATAACAATCTCACCCTTTTGTCTTTAAGCTCAGTCTGCTCTGAGGACGCCTGAATCCTCTTCTGCAGTTCTCCAATGGTGCTCATTGATTCCTCATATTTCTCTTTTAGATCTCTGATCTCCTTCTCAATAGAGGCACTCTTTACCTGCAGGGACTCGGTTTCCGCTCTCGCCCTCTTCTCACCCTCCCTAGCACGTGTTGTTTCCCTGTACAGATCCTCATATTGCTCATCCAGTCCTGACTGCCGATCGCCAAGTTCACGCACCTCCTCCTCCAGCTTGTGCTTTTCTGCTCTGAGCTGGGTCACCTGCTCTTCATGGCTGTGGAGATCATCCAGAGCATGTGTGGCTCTGAGAAGCTCAGTCTGCAGAGTGGCTACATCCTCAGCCCTCTGCGCACTGGTTTCTTCCTCCTCCCGCAGCGCCATGCGAAGCTCATTGACCTCACGTTCCAGAGCCTCTTTAACCTGGCTATACTGGGCCTCATCGAAGCTCTGACTCTGAAGCTGTTTCTCTAGTTCATGAACACGCTGGACTTCCAGTCTATGAGCTTCTCGTAAGCACTTGCACTCCTTTTGTGCCTCCTGCAAGCTGCCACTCAGAGAGCTCTGCATGGCCTCGAACTGCTCCAGATGGATATACTCAATATTCAGTTTCTTTTGGAGACTCTGGATCTCAGAGTTGCACAATGAATTTTTCTCCTCTAGTTCGGCCCGCTGGATCGTAACCTCTTTATATTGCTGCTCCAGCTCCACCAACTTCAGACTTAGCTCCTCCACCTGGCCCTTGCAGCGATCCTCCACTTCTTTGTACTTCTCACTGGACACAAGCCCCGTCTGAAGTTTCTGCTGCAGAAATGCCATCTCATCCTTCAATCTTTCGTTCTCTTGCCTTTGGCATTCCCCTTTGGTCTTTTCGTCATTGTACATCTCCTGCATTTCAGCAAGTTTTTCTGCCAAGTCCTTCAGAGCAGTGTTGAAATGCATCTCTTTTTCCTCCATAGCGGTCAACGGAACAAACTTCAACTGCAATGCCTCCTGAATAGTATCCAACTCTTTCTTCTGTGCTTCGATTTCCTTGTGGAGCTTTGATGCGCTCTCTTGAGCACACTGGTACTTGGAGTAGGCATCTTGAGCTCTTCCCTCTGCTTCTGATAAAGCTTTGCTCATTGTGCTTTTCAATATCTCATGTTCCACAAGGCTGATATAGTCATTTTCTAACTTGGCCTGCACATTCTCAAACTCCTCTTTCAACATAGCATTTCCTTCTTTCGCCTTCTGTAACTCCTCTTCCCGAACTCTACAATCATCCTCCAACTTTGCGGTTTCAATCTTTGCTTTCTCCAAAGCCTTATTTAACTCAGTCTGCACTCTCTCATTCTCATTTTTTGTGACAAACTCAATGTCAAAGCTCTGCTTTAGTGATGCTTTTTCAGCTGCCAAAATCCCAAGTTCAGAGACTTTCTCGTGGTATTGATCCTGAAGGATATTAAGATCTCTTTCCAGTTCTGTGTTGCGTTCTGTGAGTGCAGCCAACTCACTCTCATAACGTTCACAGGGGATGTACATGCTCCTCAGGTTGGCAATGTTCTCACAAAGAGAGGTCTTCTCCTCCTGCAGCCTCTGTAGCTGCTCTTCAGCCTGTTTTCTCTTCACAGTCTCCTCTGCTAACCTAACACTCAACTCCTCCACAGCGAGTCCCATAGACCTCTTCACCTCCTCATGGTTTTCCGAGGTCACAAACTTGGTCTTCAGATTGTTGCTGAGTTCCTGCAGCTCCTCTCTGAGCAGTTCTCTCTCATCCTCACCTTCCTCCACTTCGCAAATGAATGACTGACACTTTGCAGTGACATCAGCAAGTTTCTTCTTCAGGGTTGAGCTTTGCTCCTCCAGAGCAGCCCGGACTCGCTCGTGCTCTTGCAGGGGGACGGACTGTCGGTCGTCCATCGCACGGTGGAGCTCTGCCACTTCCTCCAGCACACGGTCATAATCCTCCCTTAACTCAGCCAACTGTAGCTCCTTCTCATCCACAGCATTGGTAAGGAGGTTCTTCATGTTGTCAAACTTCTCTCCTGGAACCACTGATGTCAACCTGGCCTCTGCAGTCTTCACTTGACCCTCCATGTTTAAGAGTGTCTCCTCCATGTTTTTATGGTCCTCTCGCATTGCACTCAGCTCTGCAGTGAGACTCTCAACCTCCACAGCCAGCAGACCTTCACCTTTCTTATACTCCTCCAAAGCTTTCTCACTCTGCTTTAAATGATTCCTGACCCGCCCAACCTCAGCAGAAGCACCCTCATACTTTGCCTTCACCTCATTCAGCTGTGCTTTGAGGTCATCAACAACTTTGTTATTGAGATGCTCCTTTACCGCCACCACATGAGCCTGAAGCTGTTTCACCTTTGCCTCAGAGTCTATCATTCGCTTCTGCACATCTCCCATGGCTTCCTCTAGCTCGTGTATCTGCTGATCCGACTCACGTTTGATAGTCTCACACTTCCTGGTCAGCTTCTCACACTCCTGAGACTTGCATGCTAGAGCCTTTTGGAGGGGGCCCACCTCCTCTTGTGCAGCCTCCTGCTGTCTGCGGACACATTCAAGCTCTTGACGAAGTGTCTCAGGATCACCAGCCACTGGCCGAGACCGCTCCAAAGGTCGAGCCACAGATCGAGATGGTCCTGTAGGCTGTAATATCTGAATGCAAACACAAGTAGGCATTCATTATTAATCACACAAAACATTCTGACAGTATATCTTGTCTGAATGTTTTTCATGGATAGTTACAATGCCACAGTGGAGAAGACTTGAAACAAGAAATTAGGGGGAGGGGGGGGATCAAGCTAAAATAATGAAAAAAAATAAATAGATAAAACAGTATCAACAGCCAGCCTTAAAAGAGAAAGAGAAGATGAAATGGTTCTCATACATTTTTCTCAAATGGGGTCACACTAGGGCAACATAGGTGAGAGTAAAGTCGTCTCTGGTGCTAAAGTGACAACAAAATTGCATCCACCACATCTGCCCAAAAGCTGATCCCAGGCATAGTATGTCCCTTCAGAGAATAGCGCTAATAAATCATAAACCCTTCTGACACTGCAGGCTATGGAGGTTCTGAAATGAAACGAGAGAGAGCAACTTATCTGACTGCCACTGCCTCTCCTAAGCTTAACGCAGCTGACACAGCCAGTCTGCTCAATGCATTACTAAATATCAGAAGGAAGAAAATATATATATAAATACCAAACCTTGGGAGAAATAACTAAATGTTAAGCTTGTGCATGCTCGGCAAACCTTTAGAATCAATTCTTGATTTTAAATTTAAGCATTTGCACTTGGAAGTTTGATGCTATTGTTGAACGCCATAAGAAAAAAAGGTATCCGTTTATGTACACTGAACTGACTGGCTCCTGTGTATTTACACAAGTACATATAGAGTAATAATAATAAACTACATTTACTTATTTTGTAAACATTTTGTAGAGCTGAATGCTACAGACTGTTATTTTATAGTGATTAATTCTATTGTTATTACTAATTACTTTACAATATCCATGTTACACATATTACAGGCAGAAAATAAAGTGTTACTCTCTTATATGCTATAATAACCATATATATATATATATATATATACACAGAGTGTTTAATATATACAGATTTAGACATTTTTGACATTTTATAACCGCAATTTTTGGACACAGCAAGTTCATGTTAACATATAAATGTTTAGGTCCTATTGTGTTTTATTGTGGTAACAGAGAGCATGCCATACTTTAACGATAGACTTGTTTTTAAGGCAAAATTTTATGGATAAAAATCTGTTAGTAGCAGTACAACAGTAAAATCCCTCAGAAATCAATCCTCTCATACTTCTGTAGTCATTCCACAAATGTTTCCTTAAAGACCTTTAACTTCAAGTTCGTCCCAACTGGCATGTGTTGAAGTTGGTTTACATCATGTAAATTATACATAAAATGTAATGAGCTTTTTGGCCTCAGCAGAAATTCTTGGCATTTATGTTAAGAAGATTTTAAAGAAATGTTAATTCACCTGAGCAGAATCCAAGCTATGTGACTGTCGCACTAATACATTGTCTTTTCCTGCAGAAAAAAAAAGAACCCAAAATGAAAACACACAAAAACCCAACTTCACTTACAGAAAAATTACTTTTCTGACATCCCTACACTCAACATTTTTTCAACATCAGTACACTGTTTATATTGAGGTCTCTAATATCAAGGGTCATACTTAATTAGTATAAAGATCCAGATTTTAAAGACAAAGTCACCTTTGATCACAGACTGGCCAGGGTAATCTCCCTGTAAAATAAAAACATGCAGATTTATTCAGCATCTCATCAAACTTTGATCATGAGCAGCTGGATCTGGAGTTAACAAGCAGCAGTCTTTGAAGAGCATGTTGCAAAGATTTTTACTGACCAAATGACTCCGCTGCTGGACTCTCACAGTCTCAACAGCGCTGGCTCCTTCCTCCTTCTCTTTGACAGAAAGTAAAAGCTTCAGCTCTTCTCTCTGGTGTAGAAAACACAGATACACATGCATATTCAACAGCAACTACCACCCAACCTCAACAAAAACAAACAAATATCCTTCCATCAATATAAATGTTAAGCTTGTGCATGCTCGGCAAACCTTTAGAATCAATTCTTGATTTTAAATTTAAGCATTTGCACTTGGAAGTTTGATGCTATTGTTGAACGCCATAAGAAAAAAAGGTATCCGTTTATGTACACTGAACTGACTGGCTCCTGTGTATTTACACAAGTACATATAGAGTAATAATAATAAACTACATTTACTTATTTTGTAAACATTTTGTAGAGCTGAATGCTACAGACTGTTATTTTATAGTGATTAATTCTATTGTTATTACTAATTACTTTACAATATCCATGTTACACATATTACAGGCAGAAAATAAAGTGTTACTCTCTTATATGCTATAATAACCATATATATATATATATATATATATTCTCATAGACAGTGTTTAATATATACAGATTTAGACATTTTTGACATTTTATAACCGCAATTTTTGGACACAGCAAGTTCATGTTAACATATAAATGTTTAGGTCCTATTGTGTTTTATTGTGGTAACAGAGAGCATGCCATACTTTAACGATAGACTTGTTTTTAAGGCAAAATTTTATGGATAAAAATCTGTTAGTAGCAGTACAACAGTAAAATCCCTCAGAAATCAATCCTCTCATACTTCTGTAGTCATTCCACAAATGTTTCCTTAAAGACCTTTAACTTCAAGTTCGTCCCAACTGGCATGTGTTGAAGTTGGTTTACATCATGTAAATTATACATAAAATGTAATGAGCTTTTTGGCCTCAGCAGAAATTCTTGGCATTTATGTTAAGAAGATTTTAAAGAAATGTTAATTCACCTGAGCAGAATCCAAGCTATGTGACTGTCGCACTAATACATTGTCTTTTCCTGCAGAAAAAAAAAGAACCCAAAATGAAAACACACAAAAACCCAACTTCACTTACAGAAAAATTACTTTTCTGACATCCCTACACTCAACATTTTTTCAACATCAGTACACTGTTTATATTGAGGTCTCTAATATCAAGGGTCATACTTAATTAGTATAAAGATCCAGATTTTAAAGACAAAGTCACCTTTGATCACAGACTGGCCAGGGTAATCTCCCTGTAAAATAAAAACATGCAGATTTATTCAGCATCTCATCAAACTTTGATCATGAGCAGCTGGATCTGGAGTTAACAAGCAGCAGTCTTTGAAGAGCATGTTGCAAAGATTTTTACTGACCAAATGACTCCGCTGCTGGACTCTCACAGTCTCAACAGCGCTGGCTCCTTCCTCCTTCTCTTTGACAGAAAGTAAAAGCTTCAGCTCTTCTCTCTGGTGTAGAAAACACAGATACACATGCATATTCAACAGCAACTACCACCCAACCTCAACAAAAACAAACAAATATCCTTCCATCAATATTATGATAGAAATGGGAAGAAAATTAAGAAAAAATTCAAATGAGAGCAGACAATATCACTAGGACAGAAGGCGGCAATTTCCAGGACAACACACAAATTACCTCCTTGTGAATGTCCTCCACTGTTGACTTTTCCTGAAAGAAGGAAAGAACAGAACAGAAAGAGAGACAGAGAACACATGTATTACACAAGATATCTATAGAACTATTACAATATAAACACACAACTACCTGAACAGATAAATACAGATGAGACTACCATCTACAGTACTTTGGCTTCTTTTGTTATTTACTGTAGTGCTGAAAACAACATGTAAGGTGCAGGCTTGCCAATAAATTGGCCAATTAGTAAAATACCAAAGAAACACCTGGCTGAGTTGATGCTGAAGCATGTTAACTTTATCGAGCAGCGTTCTCTGTTCCTGATGGAACTTCTTTAGTGTCTCCTGTTGGCTCTCATTCTTTTTTTCCAGATCCTGGAAAACATCAGATTGCCCACTCATTTATATTTATGGGTAACACTTTATTTCGATAGTCCACTTTAGACATTCTATTAACAGTAAGTAACTTTGCAATTACATGTCAACTAGCAGTTAGTAGAGTATTAGTAGACTGTCTGCTTAATATCTTCTAACACTTTCTTTGTCAACTTATTCTACTAACCCTAAACCTACCCTAACAGTCTACTCTTGAGAGTTAGTAGACATGTAGTTGCAAATTAATGAAAATTAGTTGACATGTAGTTGACATGTAGTTACAAAGTTACTTATAGTTAATAGAATGTCTAAAGTGGACTATCGAAATAAAGTGTAACCTATTTATGTACAGTTTGCAATGCAAAAAATGTCTATGATGAATGTTTTACATCCCTAATAATTCATACAAATTCAGCTACAGAATGTGTAAAAGAACATGTAAATGGCACAGAATAAGTCCAGGTCTAATAATAAACTTATGTACTGGTAACAGTCATGGACATGAATGGCCCTCACCTGTATGATCTTATTACGGTTAGAGGTTTCGGAGACCATCTCCACAGATTGCAACTAACACAGATAGAAAATAAAATATATAAAAATGGTAAACCACACAAAAATAATCAGGGTGTCTTTCTAATCTAATTGCAGGGCCATTTGTAATGTGATAAACGGTAAAGTAGGAGGAAAAACCTCTAAATTAGTGAAGTGTTTCTGAGTCCAAAAAATACTACTTACAACAATAAAATACTGTATTGTTATAATTGTAGGCTAATATTATTCATATACACTAGAGAATACTATTATTCAGGTGCAAAACTATGCTGTTCCTGGCTGTGGAGCAGAAACTGCTGCTCTACATACACTTCTGACAAATCCACATTTGAGAATAGAAATGAGTGGTCCTTGATAATTAATGTCCCCAAATAATAATGGTCCCTGATAATTACAGCTTGACCTTAAAATTATGACTAACATAAGTGAACATCAGGATAAAATGTGGTTAAATTATAAAAAGTGCTGGATTTGGTTCTTTTAGAGAAAATTTTATTTTGTCCTACTTTCTTTAAACACTGGGTGGCAGTAGAGCATAAAAGTTTCTACAGCACTGCAGTCGCTTCTGCAGGTACGGTCAGATTAGTGCATCAAGACTCAGAGACATGGTATGTAATAAGGAATTATATTAGTCTGAAGTAATTTGTTCTCCATTTTATATGATATAAGTACAAGTGCTGAAATAAAAACTATATTGCGCTCTCTCTGCACATCAATCATAAATCCCATTTGTATGATTTCAGACGCAGACTCTGCTATAGATGGCTTCAGTGAAATTACAATGAGAATGAAGGCAGCCTTTCTCTGTGCAGTATGTCCAAAAAAAATATATCAGTGCATTTTGGATAGTTAATAAAACTCAGACAATGACAAAAGTTAATCAGTAAGGGGGACAAGTTTTAACCTGTTGTGATTGATTATAATCTGTATATTATGTATCTTTAAAATCTAATCTGCATGGAGATGCTCAGAATGAAACGAAAGGTGAAAATGCTGTGTATACCTGTCTCTTTTTCTGTTCCATCTTGGCAGCCTCTTTTGCTGTGAATATAAATGATTAATTAGTAATTCATAGAACTGAAAGAAAAATAAAAACATACAGAAAGAGGATAGAGATGTTTTTTTTCTCAGGAGTTCTGGTACGTATAAGTAGCTCTTCTTTTTCACTCTGAAGCATGAAGCTTGAAAAGACGCTACTCTACACTTTTCTTAGGAAGCGTGTGCATAAGCTCTTGGGGCTTTGATCTCTATAACCTTCCTACCTGATAAAGGCCTATTTCACACCAAAAGTGATGCAAAAAAGTAATGTGAACTGCAGGGGGGAAAAGGATTAAAAAACTGACGAAGAATTGCATTCAACTGATTTACACCAAGAATGGCAGAAATTTTCATCAGCCTTTCTGTGAAAAGTTGCAATATGTGAAACATACTTAAATGAAAAATAAAAATAAAACCACTTAAATGCAAAGGATAATGGAATGGAACATTGGAAGTAATGAGGTGATAAAGGAATATCTTGTTCCAATGATAATAGTGATCTACTGTTAGTAATAATATTGCCAGAAACTGCTTGGCAAATCACTTCTTTCGCTCTGCTCGTTTGTTGTCATTATGGCTATTTTGAAGTGCTCGCTCTGGCCACATCGACCAAAAGCTTGGACTGTGAAACTGCAATGAAGGACTACATTATATCCTGCTTGATTTTGCCCTCCCTTTTTTGCTTTCAATTTAAAAATCAATATTCCTCTCTTTAATCTGAGCTCGTGTGCTTTCTTTCTCGTTTAAATCACTGACTGTCCAGTATTTTAGACTGCAGACTTCGATCTGTTCTGATGTGACAAACAATAACTGGTGCAAATAATAAAACGCAACCAACTACAAAACTGTGCGTCCAATCAAACTCAATCTCTGGACACATTTAGCAGTCGTTTGGCCCAGTGTTTGTTCTATGTTTTGGGCCACTGAATCACATTGCCATTGTTGCTCATGCATTACAAAATGTTCCAATTGAGTTTATGTTAATAATTTCATACAGTGGTGTGCCAATGCAATTTAAGGTACATTATAATTCCTTTCAGTTTATGATTTAAAGCACTGCTCTACTGCTCTAACACTGTAGAGATATGAGAGAGAGAGAGAGAGAGAAAAAAAGGAAACAACAAAACCTTTTGTGGCACTGTCCAGGTAACTCTTGACAAGAGAGACAAGCTCCTGGTTTTTGCCGAGTCGTGCATAGTGATAACTGTCATGACCAAAACCATCCACAGCAGTGACATCAGCGTCATGCTTCAACAAAACGCCCACAGCATCCTTACAAGCATACTCGCAGCCCAGAATCAATGCTGTTCTGAGTGAACAAAGTAGTACACAAACACATCGCTTCAATATGACTGACAGTGACATCAAAATATTACATTTAAAAATGCACCTGTGAACTATTAGGACAAGAACAACACTAATACATTTTTATATC